TGGATTCTTCACCAGCAGCAGGCTGTCACCTGGAGGCGGGGAGGGTGGGAAGAGACAGAAGTGACACACTGATAGAACACTTCTTCAGTATCCCAAAGCGTCCCGGAACGGGGCTGGATCCTCCAGGCCTCAGTTTCATTTGATGAGCCCGAATGCTCACCAAACCCCCCGTGCTTTTGGATTAAGGATAAGAAAGCCCTCCAGATCTCTTCTGCTACCTATAAGTCAACTTCTAAGGTAGACTGTTCAGGGGTCTAGAGCACCACCTGTACCTCAAGATCTGGGTTGGATTCCCAGCAAAACAATGCAGTTCACAACTGTCAAACTCCAGTTCTAGGGGATCTGATGCTTTCTTCTGGCCTCCATGGGCACCAGGCACACAGAGAGAGCGTAGACACGCATGCATGCAACACCACACACACACACACACACACACACACTCTCTCTCTCTCTCTCTCTCTCTCTCTCTCTCTCTCTCTTAAAATTTTGTAAAGATAGACTGAAATGGGTGTGGTGGTGCACACCTTTAATCCCAGTACTCAAGAGGCACAGGTAGGAGGATCTCTGTGAGTTTGAGGTCAGTCTGGACTACAGAGTGAGTTCCAGGACAGCCAGTTACATAGAGAAATCCCACTTTGGGGGTGGGGAGAGGGGCAGGCATGACTGAGTTGTAGTCTGAGGGATAATGATAATTTATCTTTGGAGATTCAACAGGAAGGAGAGGATTTTCCGGAGGTGAAAACCCATCTAGAGGCTTGCCTAAATGGAACACAGTGAGCTCAGGCCCAAACCTCAGAAGAATGCTCAGTTAGGGCCTGAAAAACAAGTTGGGCGACTAGGATGGCATAAGTTCTATCAGGACCTTAGGGGACCCTGGCCTCTAACAAAACTTTGATGCCATTTCACAATACGCCTCACCAGGAAACTGCTTCTGCCCAGGCAACAGTGCCTTTCCCTTGTACCCCAACATCTCCTGAGTTCCAAAGCTCACCACTTCTCTGGGTACCAGTATGTGTACGTGTCAGGTGGTGCAGTGGGCAGAGACCAGGGTTTTGTTAGAACAATGACCTCAACTCCCTAAATTTAGGAGTCTTCTCCTCTGTCATACCATGTTATGGTCCTCCTTCCCCCAAGAGGAAAGACCTCCATTCAGAGGCAGCCTGTAGAAGACAGTGCAGAAGGTGAATTTTTATCCACACCTTTCTCTCCTCAGTACTCCCATTTGGGATCAGGGCCAATGGAGGTCATTTCTCAAGTCACAACTGCCATGTTTCTACCCCATCTGAAGCCAATTCTGAAACACCACCCTACACAGACTAGGCTGTCCTCCCTATGGTTTAGTCAACTGTGACCACTATTTCTGTAGGGGAGTGGCCAGGAGCAAAAGCCAAATTCATTCTCACCTATATTCTGGATGTTCAAATACATTATCCTGGCCACAAAGCATTTTGTGGGATTGTCTATGCCCCAGCACCAGCTACCATGTGGGTTTTTGCTGCTGCTCAACCGAGGCCTGTGACTTCACTCCTTTCACAGGCTCATTAATTCTCAGAGATGCTTCCTGGGGATCCCACCTACAATCCTACTCTGATAATTCCTGAATCTCAGCATGACCAGAGGTGCACTTTCTTCACTTTTAATCATGCTCTGAGGCCAAGCCTTTGAATTCAGCACTCAAGGTCTAGCAGTACAATCACTCTGTGGCCAACACCCTGGTGGCTTTTCATTCCTCCACAGTTCAGTTGCCTGGAGCACCCTAATCGCCAGCTTCTCTCAGCACTCGAATGTTGTTGCAGAGAACTGCACATCTGTCCTGAGGGCTTCCTGAGGGAGACAGCCTGGTGCCCTGTCTCCTGTCTTCAGTGACTTCTGCTTTTCCACTCTACAATTGCTGTAGCTCTGTCTCCTCTTGCTTGGGCAGGTGAGCTTTCACTTTCCAGTTACTGCTGGAAACTGACTCAGATACAACCAAGAGATTGAGATCTGGAAATTAGGTGTGAGAAGTTTGCTGGGAGATTTCTGGGAGGTTCCTTAGACCTTAGAGTGGTGCTTCTCAACCTTCCTAATGCTGTGACCATTTAATACAGGTCCTCAAGTTGTGGCATCCCCCAACCATCAAATTATTTTTGTTGCTACTTCATTATTGTAATTTTGCTACTGTTATGAATCATAATATAAATATCTGTGTTTTCTGATGGTCTTAGGTGACCTCTGTGAAAGGTCATTCCACCTCCTGAAAGGGGTGATGACCCACAAGTTGAGAAACATTGCCTTAGAGTTTGTAGGGAAAAAATGGACTTTCCTTTCCTCTTCCTGCCAGGTCTATATGTGTGATATTTGGGATAGCTGATAGGATGTTGACATTAGCCCAAGATTCGTGCCACACCAATGGAGGCCAGTGAAAGAGGTGGAAAGAACCTAGTTCCTCAAAAACATAGCTGGGTCCTCAAATCAAGTAAGCCTGACCCTGGACTGCCTACTCTAGTTACGTAGAAGACAAAACTTTGTTATCCCTCAAGGTAGTTGAAATCAGGGCTCTAAAGGAGTTAACAGTATAGGTGCTGGAGCTGGATAGATGGCTCAGTGGTTATGAGCACTTGCTACCCTTCCAGGGGACCAGTGTTAGGTTTCCAGCACCCACAAGCAGCTCACAACCATCTGTAACGCCAGTCCCAAGGAATCTGATGCCCTCTTCTGACATCCTTGAGGGTGCATACACATGTGCACAGACATATATGTAGGCAAAAACTCAAACACATAAGATAAAGGGAAAAAGTACCCCTGCCCCACCTTCCACCTCCTCATATCTCCCTGTTCTTTTACATAGCCATATTATACCCGGAGTCAGTCACTAACACTTGTTCTTACCACTTCATCACCCTCCCTGCCCTCAGGTTTGAACCCAGGGCCTTACGCATGCTGGGGAAGTCCCATCACTGAGCTACATCCCAGCAGTTTTTTCGGTTTTTGTTTTTAAGACAAGGTCTCCTGTGTAGCTCTGGCTGGCTCTGAACTCACAGAGATCCATCTACCTTTGCCTCCCAAGCCCTGGGATTAAAGGCGAGTGCCATCATACCATACTCATGACCTTTTGGGAAGGTCATGACTAATCTTCAGCTTGCCAAATCCAATAGCCTCTTTTCTGCCTCTTTTCTTCTTAATTGTTGTCTGTATGGTTTAAGAACTCACATAGCCCACAAGCCTTGAAACAATGAATGTAATTATTTGATTCTTTGACCCTGGTTCTGGGACTGTAGTCTCTAAATCATTGGAGATTTCTGAATTATTAACAAAAGTGTCCTTCATGCTCTAAGAGGGCATGATGGAGAATGTTAATGTGCTTCTGGTAGACACATGACACTAATAAGATGACTCAGGTGGGGCTGGCCATGCCCAAAAGACCAAAAGCAACCTCATAATTAAAGTTGGGATTTGTCATTCAACTTTGAGGGAGGGGATAAGAGAGAATGAATTAGATTTCATGGCGTTGATTCAGTCAGTCATGCCCATGGTAAAACTCTGGACACTGAAGCTTAGGAAAGCTTCACTGAGTGGCATTACTCTGCATACTGACACATATCAGTGTGCTGGAAGCATGGCATATCCTGATTTCATTGGAAAAGGACCTAACCAGACCTATCCAGATGTCTTCCTTCTGCTGCTTCTGATTTGAATTATAACCATAGCATATTCCTCAGTTTTGCCAAGAATTCTATCATATATTTGAACTAGAGAGGTAGTAGGAATTCCAGAATTTGGAGCTCTAGTTAGAGGTGGCCTGGAGCCTCACAAACTAGATGCTTATATCTGAAGTGAGTGCCCTATTAGACTCAACCAGGTAGATGGTATCCAAAGTCATTCAACCTATAAGCCCCAAATCTATCCGGCTCTAAACTTTTTCTTGAACTCCAGACTCTTATACTCATCTACTCAGCTCACTACTTGAAAGCCACCTGAGATTTTAACAGAGCCAAATGTGGAACACTCAGTTTCCATAGCTACCTGGCCATTCCCCAGGCTGAGCACCAGCAAATGATCATGTCCTGCATTCTTTCTCTTCAGACCCAGCTCTAGAAGACACTCTTGGTTACTCTCTTCACAGGTGTGTCCATCAGTTACTGCCCATACCTTCTCTCCATGGCCACTGCTCCTGGGCTCGCTCTAACTGCACTTGGCTGATTGCAGACTTATCAGCTTGCAAAACATTTCCTGAGCTTCCCATCTAGCTCTAACCCAGCATGCCCATTCTTGAATTTACCTTGTAAAAATGGAAACCAGGGGGGTGGAGAGGATTGTTGCAGAGGATCTGGGTTCAAACCCCTCCAGTGCAGCTTACAGCTGTCCATAACTCCAGTTCCAGAGAATACAGTAGCATCTTCTGGCCTCAGGCACCAAACATGCATAGAGTACACATACATACATGCAGATAAAACACTCAAATACATAAAATAAAAATGAGTAAGTCTTAAGCAAAAATTGGACAGGCATACTTGTGAGTAAGGCAATCAGATCTCATTACATTATCCTAATGAACTCTCTCTGCTAGGCTCCTTTCTTATTAGTTCAGGGCCCGGCATGATGGCTTAGTGTGTAAAAGCACTCAATACTTGCCTAATGACCTAGTGGGATGTCTAGAGCCCACATGGTGAAAGGAGAGAACTGACTCCAAAAAATTGTTCTTTGAACACACACACACAGACACACAGACACACAGACACACAGACACACAGACACAGACACACACACACACACACACACACACACACACACACACACAATACAGGAGTTCTACCCACTGCCATAGCCCCAGCTATTAAGGCCTCCTTGGCTTTGTTCTAGCGCTTCCCTGTAGTCTACTATTCAAGATAGATCCATGTCTCCTCTTTTGGGGGCAGTCTAGAGCACATCCAGCTATGCCTTCCCCAGGAGGCTGTTGCTGGTTCTTTTGCCCCAGCCCTCTTGTTTGCTCCCTTCTTCCTATTTCCCTGACCTGGCACCCACGGAGCACTGACCACACACTACTTTTATCTAATATGATTGCTTGTTGGCTTCTTTATTGTCCTTCCCCTTCCCACAAAGGAAAAAGTCTTCATTGCCTGCCTGTCCTTTGTACTTACAACAGGGCATAGCACTGAGTGAGCACTAGTAAATCACTGTTAAATAAACAGAAACTAGAAAAGGTGGGGCCCATTGTTTTGACCCAAGGCAGTGGTTAACATGGAAATTTTAAGAGGGTGCCTTCAAACATAGGGCATCTGGGTAGAGATGCCTAGCTCAGCCTCCTCTGGAAACCCATAGTAGCCAATGGACTCCAAACTTCCATCCAGACCTGCCTAATAGTCTCGTGCACACTAGTTTTTAGCGAACTGGATTTCCAATCTTTCACTACAGTCTCAATTCATACTTATTAATATAAAATAAGGAGCCTCTTTCACACACACATCCAGTTGGGCTGAAGAGGAACCTTGAGTCCAATAAGGACACCTGTGCATGCACTCTCTCTCGTGCAAGGCCAAGGATTTGGGAAGGAGGCTGGCTGACCTACCAGCTAGTATCCATTTCTATATTTAATCCTCTGTCTCTACTACTCTCTTCCTGCCAATCCCTTTCCAAAATGTTCTTATACATAATACCACATCTTCCAAATCATCCATCTAGCCATCCCTGGAAACCACTACACTAAGGCTACCATTTAAAAAAAAAAAAAAAAAAAAGATTTGTATCAATGGGGCCAAAGAGATGTTTCAGTGGTTAAGAATACTTTTCTTGCAGAGGACCCAAGTTCAATTCCCAACACCCATATGGTGGTTCACAACTGTCTGTAACTACAGTTCCATGGGATCCAATGACCTTTTCTGACCTCCACACTTAAATGGTGCACAGACATACATGTGAAAAACACTATACACATAAACTAAAATAAATAAATCTAAAGGTTTTAAAGATCCTATTTCAATTATATGTGTCTATATGTGGTATGTATATGAGTTCAACGCTGGGCTTGCAGGTGAGGGGTTGTAGATCCTCTGGAGCTGGAGTTACAAGGGATTGGGAGCCACCTCTGAGGGTGCTGGGAACCAAACAAAGTGCAGTGTTTACTCTTAACTACTGAGCCACCTCTCCCATCCAAAAGCTTTGAAAGACCCATGTTGGTTTTTATTTGTTTGCTTTTGTTTTTTTTAATGATGTGTATGTGTCTGTGGTACTAGAGCCATCTTAAACCTCAAAGAACCACAGATGAAATGCTGGTTTCAAATTCTAGTCTTAATAAGCAGGAGGCAGGTTCCCTTCAGGAGAAAGAAAAGAAGCCTTGCAAAAGGGCTATAGTAACTGATGAGAGAAACATTTCTAGATTCTCATGCCTCTACAATTCTGGGCATTACCTCCCCCAAATAAAATATCCTGACTCAAAATGTCCTGTGAGTTATCATATCCAAACTAAAGTAGGAAACAGCCCTTTGTAAAACCTAGCAAATTCTCTGGGGGCTTTCCCCAAATAGGTTGCTATACCTGCACAGACACAGGGAAAGGCTCCTCCAGGCCCATATGCTCCTAGCCACCTAGAGAAATGGGAAGGTAGGGCCAAGGACAAAGGCTGAGTGAACTTCTTGGCAATGCCTGATGAGCTAATTCCTATGCCTTCAAGGCCAGATCTAAAAGGCCAGCAATGTGCCTCAGTTGTTACAGTGGCTACCCTAACATGCTTAAATTAATGCCTTGGGTTTGATCCTCACAACCACATAAAACTGTGTTTGTGGTCACAGGCCTATAAGCACTCAGGAGGTACAAACAGGAGGATCAGGAGTCCAAGGGCATCCTTGGCTATATAAAGAATTCAAGGCCAACCTGCGCTACTTGAGCCTTTGTCTAAAATACCCTAAAACATAAAATGTAAGTAAATTAAAAATGCAAAATCTAGGGCTGGAGAGATGGCTCAGAAGTTAAGAGCACTGACTGCTCTTCCAGAGGTCCTGAGTTCAATTCCCAGCAGCCACATGGTGGCTCACAACCATCCGTTATGAGATATGGTGCCCTCTTCTGGTGTGCGGATACACATGGAAGCAGAATGTTGTATACATAATAAGTAAATAAAATCTTTAAAAAAATGCAAAATCTAGAAATGGTGGCTGGGGGCAACTGAGGTGGCTACTATTACCATTTCTTCCAGTGCCCGTGGTCAATCTGGTTCTCCACATCTCCTGAGTTTGCCAACAGGTTGCAAAAATGACTGCTCTAAATTCTGGTTCAAACACAGACTCACCTCTCCCATCCAGCAACAGTTCCTCCAGGTTCTAAAAGGCTGCCACCAGCAAAATCACCCTAGAAGGGAGTAGGCTGAGGCAAGCAACTCTATTGCAGGCTTCAACTACTCCAGACCAAATACCCCAGGGTTCTAGAAGACACACACATTACTCACTTGGGCCCGAGTCTAATCCGAGCTCTCCTTCCATTGAGTCACGTGGGCCCCATGGGTACGGCTGCTCTTCCTGCTTGATCCAGGACAAAATGTCATGTGCTGAGATAAGAGATTCTGTTGTCAGGGAAAAAAAGGCAATATTATTCATCTTCACTGAGCATCCACCATCCGGTGAACACCAAAGAGACCACCAGGCCAGGCTATGCTAGAGGGAAGCTCAGCTTTGAAGGTCCACAGTGCCACAACTGGCTCGTCTGACTAGTAGTGCAGAGGCAGCAGTTACTGGCAAGCCCTTGATAAGGCCTGAGGACTCTATGAGGGGACTCTGCTTCCATCTGCTCAGTCCCCTCAATGAAAGCCGAGACTTAATTTCTCATCCTCTCTCCCAGATATGGAGAGTAGGGTGAGACCTTCCAGCTCTACAAACTCATACATAAACGCAACCCCAGCTCTGGCAGGACGGTGGGTGGGAGAGCTTCCCTAAATAGTTGGAACCTCCTCAGAATTTTCACGGGAGATACCATACATATGAAATTCCAGAAAGGGGCTGGAGGGATGACCCTGTGATTGCGAATACATGCTGCTCTTGCAGAAGACCCAAGTTCAGTTTGCATCACACACTTCAGCAGCTTATAACCGTCTATATAGAGCCCCAAGGAATGCAGCCTCTGTAGGCACCCACACATAAATAATTAAAGATGAAATAAGTCCTGAAAAAAAGGAAAGGAAATTCCAGAAAATATAAATTACTTGCTCTTTTACACATAAATACACATAGCCTTTTGAAGCTTTTCAGTTTTGAAATCTTCAAAAAGCAATGCTAAGGTAATTTTTGTATCAGTCCATTGACACAATGAATGGTAAATTTAGTAATTCACTCTGACTCCTCTCTCACCTGAATTGGGATCTGTGGGAATATCTCTCTCTGCCAAATCCTGCTGGTCCCACACACACTGCTGTTCCTCTTGCTTAATCCGGGACAAGAGGTCCTGGGCAGAGATGGGGGAATCTACTCAGGAGAACAAAGGCAACAAAGGTGTTAGAGAAGGGGAAATTCCCACCAGTCTGTGTTTTTAGAGAATCTTATTTCATGAAATTATTTGTTTTCCCTAAAAGTCAAGGAGAAGAATAAATAAATTATCCCAATTAACTAAAGGTTCCAGCCACTCTAGCTATAATAAATAGAGCTGTAGCTGAAAGTCAGTGGATGTCACAGGGCAGTGAATAGGATACAAAATATCTCCAGAGACTTAACTAGCCAGGATGAGGACTCTGCTCTGGAACTATGATTGCCACAGAAGAAGGGAACCTCATGAGGGTATTTCCCAGGAAAACAGTTTTCCCAAAGAAGCCTCTTATCAGTATCTGAATGGAAGTTTTCTAACACAAAACATCCTCTTTTTTTCACAGGCTCCTAAATTGGTATGTAACACCTGCAATCCCCACACTTGGGAGGTGAAGCCAGGAGGTTCAGAAATTCAGGGTCACCCTTGACCACATAGAAAGTTTGAGGCTAACCTTGGCTACATTAGTTTCTGTATCAAATTTTTTTTTTCTTTTTTTAAATCAAACTCAATGTATCACCTTCTTATCTCTTAACACCACCAATCCTTCCCAGGTCCCATCCTGCTAGCCTACTTGCTAGCAAATTTTGGATCTGTCAGCCACTGTAATCACATTAGCCAGTTTGTTAAAACAAATCCTCCTGGGAGCTGGAGAGATGGCTCAGCAGTTAAGAGCACTGGCTGTTCTTCCAGAGGTCCTGAGTTCAATTCCCAGCAACCACATGGTGGCTCACAACCACCTTGAATGAGATCTGGCGCCCTCTGGTGCATGCAGGCACAAGACTGTATACATAATAAATAAATAAAATCTTTAAAAAAAAAATCCTTCTACATATATACATGTACACGGTCACATTGCACACACGATCACAATGCACACATACAAAGCATTGGTTCTGTCTCTCTGGAGAACTGGGCCTCATTAATCACACACCTGCCATAGCAGATTCTCACCTAAATACAGCCCAGATAAAACACCACCGAGGAGCAGCTCCCCATGGGCATGCAGCAATGGGGTGCCTGGCTTGGAAGTGGCAGCCCACAAATATTTGTGTAATGTATCTTTGTGGTCCAGGAACAGGTCTTATTGGCTTCGATATTCTGCCACCTATAGAGCCCAATAAAGTGTTTTCATTAAACTGTTTTTGTAGGGAACAGAGGGACCATCCAAAACTTACTAGACAAAGGAGAGAAAAAATCAGAACAAGCAAAGCTGAAAGTAGTTATAAACCCTCAGTGATGAATGCCATATTTGTGTCTCTATAGAAGCCTTGTCACAGTCCAGCGCTGCATTCATAGCTCTTCCTTTCCTAGCATAGCCCTCTAGCCTGACACCCTCTGGTGGCTACTGACCAGACACCGCCTCACCTGTCCTGTGCCAAGTGGCTATTTGGCTCACTTACCAGTGATGGATTCTGTGGGGATGGCTCTTTCTTCCAGGCCCCTTTGGCTCCGAACACATAGGGCTTCCTCTCGCTTCACCTGGGAGGCCATGTCTTGTGCAGGCACCAGGGGCTCTGTTCCTGGGGAGAAAGGACCATACTTCTTAGAATCTTTTTTTAGTATGTTGGTCACCAAGATGTACTGTGGTCAGAATCATGGTTGTCAGCACTTCCCGGGGACAGTACAAAAATCTTGGAGGGTCCCTACTGGAGTCATATGGGAACCTGTGAAGCAGAAAGTCCCAGTAACAGAGAAGTGAGAATATTCAAGAAAAAGGATATGTTGGCTCATGGCTGCAATCCCAGCAGTCAACAGGCTGAGGCAGGAGGATCACCATAAGTTGGAGGTCAGTTTGAGCTATATAATGAGTTCTAATCCAGGTTGGGCTCAGAGTAACACCCTGTATCAAAAAAGAATGGCTAGGCCAACAGCAGCATGAAGTCTGAGAAGCCAAAGAGAGGCTTTGGAGATGGTATACCAGATAACTGCTGGAGCTAACCAGAACTCAGAACATGTTTGTGCAGGACCCTTGGTTTTTCTACCCTAGTGGCCAAACATAAACATTGCTCTATGAAGCAATTAGGCCAGGCAGAGGTACAACCCAATCCTGATGCTGGGTGAATAAAATAGTATTCTTAAGCATAAAAGCCAACAACCTATTTTTTTTCATAGAATCCTGTTTTGTGGCCAACAGAACATTTTCTTCTGGAGTTTTCTGGGACAATGTAATAGCTCTTGGTAGAAGACAGCTCAGGCAATAGGAGGGACTCGGGGAGGATCTAAAGAGAGTGATCCTGATTTCAACTCCACCACCACCTTGCTCTGAGAACTACTTCACCTCTCTGGGTTTCAGTATCCCCGTTTCATCTAAAGTGGGGAGAGTGGTTCTGGTTCTGTTTTGTGATCCATGATGGTTTGATAACTCAGTGAAACTGTTGAGGTCACAGGGCCTAAAATGTAAAAAGCTGCCATACAATATTAGAGTCTGTAACCACAACTGACAAAGAATATCTGAGGTGCTTGATTAAGACCAGGAAAAGCCATTGAAATGAAACATGCATCATGTGACAGTCACGGGGACAAAGGCAGGCCTGCTTTGCTGGGACTGCAAGAAAGGGAAGGGGAGGGATTGCTAATGAGAGTGGGGATTCTCAATCTGAATGTATGTTTTTATGCCAGAAGAAAGCATCAGACCCCACTATAGATGGTTGTGATCCACCATGTGGTTGCTGGGAATTGAATTCAGGACCTCTGGAAGAGGAGCCAGGGCTCTTAACCACTGAGCTACCTCTCTAGCCCTGAGTGAATAATTTAAAAGGGAGAAAATTATGACCAATAAACTATAACAAAACTAAAGATTGGAAAGGAGAAAGAACAGTCTGAAATTTTCCATGAAAATATTATCTTAAAAAGTGGTAGGGGATGAGAGCCAATGGGTGGGGGTTCTTAAGTCAGCAGAGGACACCAGTGCAGCATCATTCCACATCTTCTCAACAATTTTCAGGAAGCAAAGGCACCTGCGAAAGTCCTCCAGGGCAGAGCTAGGGCTAGACCCTAGTGTCTTCCATCCCAGTAAAAGATGCCAAAAGTGATAGTCTTAGGACTAATGGTTCCTGAGTGAGAGAAGAGACTTGGGGTGAGTATATGTGTATCAAGGCAAGAATGGGCTATGAGATGTAGATTACACTCAGGCAGTGAGCAACTGGTCAGGCAGAAACATACCTCTGCTGCAGACTTCTTTTCCACCTCCTCTGTTAGTCTCTCTGAGGCTGGGTCTGGGGCCTGGAGCCTTCAGCTGTTCCCAAGCCTAAGACCTCATGTACCTCATCAAGTCTGGGAGACGTCTCAACCCAACCCCTTCCTTACTTGTTTTTTTTTTTTTTTTTTTTTTTTTTTTTGAAGGGTCACCCTTGCTGACTTGAAATTTTCTACATAGACCAGATTGGCCTCATACTCACAGAGGCATATACTCCCTTATGCCTCTTGAGGGTTAGGATTAAAGGTTCACACCAGGGAACTCCCGACCTGGGGTCTGCAGGCAGATTGAATCCGCCCCTGAGGACCAAGTGACCCTGACTCTGCTGACATCTCTGGGCTACTCCCACCCCCAGGTAGGGCAGAGGTAGGGCAGAGGTGAGCTGCTTTGGCCCCTGCCTTGAGCCCAATTTCCACCTGCCCACTCAGAGAACTCTTGACCTGGGTCTGCAGGCAAACTGAATCTGTCCCTGAGGACCAACCAACCCAGAGTCTGCTGACATGTCTGCACTAGTCCCGCTCTCACCCACCTGGAGAGCAAGCGCCTACAACCCGCCTACACCCGCCTTGAGACCCATCAGAGTATTGGAGCCAATTGCACCCACTGGAAGAGAACCTTGGACCCATACACACCAGGAAAGGAAGAGACACCACCTGCATCCACTGGAAGAAGAGATGGGAAGATGACAACATAAGAACACATCCAACAACAGGAAAAGAAATATGACACCACCAGAGTCTAGGGACTCTACACCAGCAAGACCTAAACACCCCAACACTGATGAAGCAGAAGAGAGCAACCTTAAAAACAACTTCATGCAGATGATAGAGACCCTAAGAGAGGAAATGAGAAAATCCTTCAGAGAAATGGAAGAAAAGACAAACCAAAAGATGCAAGAAATCAAGGAAAGCCAAGGAAATACAATTAAACAGCTGAAGGAAACAGCTGAATACTCTGAAAACTAAAATAGAGACAATAAAGAAAACATAAACTAAGGGAATGTTGAAAGTGGAAAAGCTGAGTAAACAATCAGAAACCACAGATGCAAGCATAACCAACAGAATACAAGAGATAGAAGACGGAATCTCGGACACTGAAGATAAACTAGAGGAAATAAATTCATCAAGCAAAGAAAATCTTAAGTCCAACAAATCCTTAACACAAAATATCCAGGAAATATGGGACACCATGAAAAGAC